GCCGCCTGCTCCCGGTGGCGGGCAGAGCCGTCCTCGTCACAGGTGAGTGCCCCGCACGCCCCCCCTGCAGCCCCCGCTCGCTCCTCCCGCGCCCGCCGGAGGATGGATGGCTGAGAGGTCTCGGTAGCTCGGGACCGCGAGGAAGGGCCAAGCTACACCTGTCCACCCTGTCCCCAAATAAGCAGGACTCGGGGATGCTGCGTGGTCCCTAGGAGCAGTTCTTTGCCTCGAGCTGTGCCTGCCCATCTCAGTGCCACGGCGTGAATGACTTCCTCTGGAAGCCAGCCTGCTGGGTGGGATGAGTGGCTACTGTGCAGCAGCTCTGGTCTTCTGGTTTGGGAGCCCTTTGGCCAGCCTGGGAGGTGCTCTGGTCTCTCCTCCAGTGCTGGGCTTGTTCAGAGGAGGCTCACAGCCTCCTCTGGCCTGGAGGCAATGGGAAGCACCAGCTCCCCCAGGGCTGAGCCTCACTTGTGCAGGGATGCTCTGGGAGCAAGTGAGGCCACTTCCTTTTTTTGGCTTGTGGCTGAATTTTTTCAGGCTCTACAAGCTCATCACCCTCTCCTTTCTCTCAGTGGTGATGCTGGAGGTGCCTTTTCAGGGTGGGAAGGCTGTCTGAATTCAGTGCCTGCAGGTACTCTGCACCCGTGGCAGCAGGCACCAAAGGAGCCGCAAAGTGCCCAGGTCGGGGATCCCATTCACACTGCTGTGCTGAGGAGGCAATTTGCCAGCTCCCTGGAGCTTCTGCACAGATGCAGAAGTGGATCTGCCTGAGGATGCACTGCCTGTCACCCAGTGGGAAGGTCTGGACCGCCTTTGGAGAGCTCCAAGTCTATGCTTGATCTACGGGAGCCTGAGGATGCACTGCCTGTCACCCGGTGGGAAGGTCTGGACCGGCTTTGGAGAGCTCCAAGTCTATGCTTGAAGCGAGAGCTGGCAGGTGGAGCACGGGAAACAGGTGCTTTCTAGGAAAGATCATCTTACAGTGGGGAGAGCTCCTCCAAGAGAGTCCAAGCTCACGTGCAGGTTGAAGGCCTGGTGGGAGGTGGAGCTGCTCCTCCCGTGGAGCCTCTCCAGAGGAGGAAGCATGGAGGATCGGGGAATGAATGGGTGATTCAGCCCAGTGAAGGTCAAAGTAGCAGCAGGGCAGGGCTGCTCGGGAGGACTCCTCGCTGTGGAAGGTGTGGAGGGCAGCTGTACACCTGGGAACGTGTCACTGTCTCGCTGATGCCCGGGCACACGTGGTGTGTGGCAGACCAGGTTGCACTAGCCCTGTGCCCATGCCACTGCCTGTATAATTAGTGAGTCAGTGGCTGGGACAAGGTGTTCTTGCCTTGGTGCATGGAAATGACACCCCTGCAGCTCCGCTGTTTGCTTTTTAGCAGTAAATTCTTTGTGGTTTTACAGGTTCAAGTCGCAGCTCGCGATGCGGGTCAGAGTTTTCTTATCCAGCGCCTCGAACAGGTGCCTCTGACAGTATGAAAAGCACAGGCCGCTCTCAGCTTGAACATGTTCAGTTACTCGTCTCTGCATCATTAGCCTGGGAATGGCCATGGTTGCCCTGTGGCAGGAACAGAGGGGACATCGGTGGGGGTGAATGGGCTCTGATCGTGCTGGGGGTTACACTAGACCCTGCAGGGGGATGGTAGCTAATCTGTGCTCTGTACTTAACCCAGAAGTGCTGCAAAGCCTCTTCCTAATCCCTTCTCATCCATTAATGCCAGCCTGTGAAACAGCATGGGTCCCAGCTCTGAGCTGCTTCTGACTGCTGCTGGCCGGCTGGCTCAGTCCCGTGCCGAGGAGCTGTGCAGGTCTAAGAGCGCTTGCCCAGAGCACCGGGATGTGACTGTGTGGGTGCAACTCCGAGACCAAACTTCACCACAGCTCTTCCAGCCATCTGGAAAGGAAAACCTTGGACTGAGCTTTCCCTGCAGCGCCCTTGATCTGATCTAGGCACCCATGGTCAGGGAACTTTTTAGAACTTTTGAAGGGAAAACTGCTTTGCCTCCCAATAGACAGTTGAGAGATGTGGCCTACAGACCCTCCAGGAGGTTTGAGGGCTAGAAAGTCTTGTGCTCTGGGTGGGAAACACCACAACTTTCTAGTTTCCTCTCTGCTGTATGTTTGCATTTCAGGTGTCACGCCGTGGGCTGGAACCAGACTGGAGCAGCGAGTAGGGACAGGCCTGCAGCTGCTTCTGCCTAGGGCTGGAGCGTAGGGATGTGACCACTGCTGCGAGCCTGGGGCCCATCCTGTGGCCTCTGTGGCTACTGGTCTGTGCTGTGCTGCTGGTGGGTTTCTTTATCCGTGGTTGTGGCTCAGGTTCTTGCATGTCCTCGCTGGAATTGTGGCTCCGGAATATGCCGCAAGGAGAGTATTAATCCCATCTTCTGAGGAAGAGTCATTGATTGCTATTTGCACTGAGGATGCAGAGGGAAGGAGGTGGCTGGCCAAAAGCACTCTCCTGTGTGGTGTAGATGAGCAGGGGATGAGCTCCAGGGGGGAATGGGACAGCATGAGAAGGCGAGAAGGGTCTAGCTGCTCCAGCTCCAGCCCTGTGCTAGAAGACCCAAGCTGCCTTGTGGCCCTGGGACTGCTCGCCGGGTGATGGGCACCCAAGGTCAATGGCATGTGAGGTGCACTTGTGTGTGCTTGGGCCACCTCTTCCCAAATCCAACTGCATGACTAGGAGGGCGCTATTGAGTTTCTTTAGGCTGCCTCTGTGTAGTTCTGTGCCATGGGAGTGGAAAGCAGTCACTGGTTGTATCCTTAGCTCTTTTCTCTTGGACATCTACACCAAAAGTGCTCCAGCTTCTGTAACTTTTTGCCTGTGCAAAGCCACTGCTCATGCCTCTTAAATGAGTAATTGCAAGCGAGCTTGGAGCAGAGGGTGATGAACGTCTGTTTCTTGGCATCTCCTGCTCCAGACTGATGGTCTTTTCTGCAAGGTCTGCTTTGGCCCCAGCACTGTATACTAGGTTCCAAGAAATGAAGAGGCCTCTACGACCTGGGTTACTTTAGCCATCAACCTTGAAGGTCTCTTGGTCTCTTCTGGCTTTAGTGAATGCCTGTCAAGCTCAGTGATTCCGTGGGAGTACCAAACACTTTTGGGACTTTGGGCTTTTGCTGTGGATGGAGAAGAGACTTGTCAGAAGCTCCCTGGGGTTCAGCTGTGCAAAAAGAGGAGGCAGCTGAAGCAGTTGTGAATCTTCCTGTCATGTATAGCTCTACAGTGTTTTATTGCCTGTGGTTTTTTTCAGACATGAGCTATTGCCTTACTTAAGGGAGATTCATGGAAAGGGCTGAATGAAAAATAGCCCACAGGCCTTGCGTGCTTACGGTGTTTTGCTGGAGCTGAGCATCAGCTTTTGCACTCTTCCTTTCAGCTTGGATGGAAAGCTGAAGCACTGAAACTCTGCCACTTGCAAAGGATGCACTTGAGATAATGCAGCTCTAAGCTATGCAAAGCCACAGGGCTCTTGGTTAGGAGTAGCAATTTGGGTCCCTTGCGCCTTCCCTGATTCTCCTTGGGGAAGACTGGGCTACAGAGACAGGAGACAGGCTGCTCGGTCCCCAAACAAACCATTTTGGAGAACAAAAGCAGTGAGTAGGTCAGACCGATTCAGATCCAAAGCTGCTGTTCGTCTGTACCCTTTCTTTCCCTCCTCCTACAAAGGAAACCTGGCTTTCCTGGTGAGACTCTCTTGTTGCACGCTCCATTAACGGCCTGAAATGGGTCAGAGCTTAAGGTGGCTTTCAAGGTTAGCTGAGCTCTTGCAACAGGAGCGCAGAGCGCAAACACTTCCCATGGACTTGGCAGATGTTGCAGCATCTGGTGGCTGCAGCAGAGCTGTGGGAGTGATTCAATCCTGATATCAGGACTCTTGTTCTCCTGTGAAGGTAAATCGCTTTCCTTGTTAAAACACCAGCCTTGCTTCCTATCTGGACTTGGCAGGATCCAACTTCTGATGCTATCTCAGGCTCCCTTTCCTGCTGCGGGTATCTGGGCTGGGTGATCAAGAGATGTGAGGAACCAAGACCTCAGTGCTGCTCAGTAATGCACGTGCATGATTAGCTAGGACTGCTTGAATGGATTTCCCAAACACATGCAACTTTCCATGTCCTGGAATGGTGCTACCCTGTGGTTGCCCACAAGTGTGGGTGAGTTAACATGGGGGACTGAGTGCTACCTGGTGCCTACCTTCTCCAAGATGGGAGCTGCATAGGTGCTGAGGCAGCAACCAGGCTGGCGGCGTCCTGGCTCTGTGTTGGAGCACTGATTGAACATGTGTCCAATTAGACCCTGAGCCCCTCTCAGCCTCTGGTTGCCCTCGGCATTGTCATGGAGATAACTGGGTTAAAGAGGATTGTCCTAGGCATCGGTTGCTCCATGGCCCCTGGCTAATACCCTGCCTGTGAACTCCTGCTCGGTTATGCCGTTGGTCCCAACAGCTTGTTTTGATTGCCTTGGTAGCTCCAATTCCTTTAAAGTGCAAATAGTCTGAACTGCTCTGATAATGCAAACTGAACATGCAGAAGCTGTGCTGATTTAAAATATATATACATGTATATAGTTGCAATAGTTTAGCTGTGAAGTGAATACTCTGATAACTCTAAAGCTTCATGTTGTAGTAGTTTTCTATAGGATGCTTCCCTTTGGTAGCTGTTTCTAGAGTTGTGGAGCTAACAAGTCTTCAAGAACTGAAGTTCTTCTATCTGAATGCAGGAAGAAATGACTTCTCTGGAGCTTCTGTGATTCTTTCAGCACCTATTAAAAATTAACAGCAGAGCTATTCCTCCAAGCTGTGTGTTGGGGGCAGGGACACTGAAACCAAGCAGTGAGACTCAGGTCCTGCTGTACAATCACTCTTTTGCAGATGAAGAAGCTTACCTCTCCAGGTGGATGAAGTATCTAGTTATTCTGTCTTTGGGTGCAGGGCAAAAAGCCTTCTCTGCTTCTCTTTTTGCGGGGGTGAAGCTCTTGCTTCATTTTGCCAGTAGTCCTCCAAGGTTTTTGGATTCTTCCCCTTGATAAGTTTCTTCAA